AACTTTATTGATTTGAGGACTTGACAAAATGTTTGCATCTCAACTTTCGACATTGTAATACGAGACGCATGCAACTCTAATCGGTCATTTCCGACATTTTTTAGCTGCAGTTCCTCTCTAATGTTCAATGCAGTTAGATCTCGACGAGCTCGTAGATCATCCTTTGATTTATTAGCATCTTGCAACAGTGTGGACAAAAGATTATCACAAATATTTTTTTCAATGTGCATAACGTCCAAGTTGTGACGTATTTTTAGCTCTTTCCAATAGGGGAGTTGAAAAAAAATGCTGAATTTTGTCCATCCTGAAGGTAATTTTACGACTTCAGCCCCATCACTCACCACTTGTGCTTGTCTCTTTCGTTTTGGTATCCTTTTGTTAATACGCAAGTTCCTTACTCCAAGTAAATCTTCTTTCGAATAGCGCTTCTTTCCAAACCTGACGGCAGGGAACATCTCAAGCAAATGTACAATCTGATCCCCACGTAATGGACGCGGAGCATCTCTCTTCTCAACAGTACCATCAAAAAACTTGCTCCATTTTTTTGTTCTGTACCTGTGTTTTATGTTCAACCACCTTCTATTAAACCAATAACAAAACTTTCGACTGTGCTGCAGATAAAGACCTTTGAATTCTGGACCACACACTGGACATGCATATGTTCCCTTTGTAGACCAACCTGAAAGATTCGCATAGGCTGGAAAATCATTAATTGTCCATAGTAAAATAACACGTAGTCTGAAAGACTGCTTTGCATGAGTATCATAAGTCATAACCCCTTCAGTCCAGGGTTGTTTTAACTCATCAATTAGCGGTTCTAAAAACACATCTATGTCATTGCCTGGTATCAACAATGAAAGTATCATATACGGTTGTTTCATGCAAAGCCAAGGTGGCAAGTTGTAAGGCGTTAATACCACAGGCCATGTAGACCAACCAGAACTCATTATCCCAAATGGATTGAATCCGTCGCTAGACAAACCTAGTCTAACATTCCTGCACTCATTCGCAAACCAAGGAAAAGTTCTATCCATATGCTTCCACGCCTCTGCATCAGCCGGATGTCTGATTTTACCATCATCAGTACGTTCTTCCATGTGCCACCTCATTTGCTTAGCAGTGTCTTTATTCATATACAACCGTTTTAGCCTTGGTATTAAGGGAAAATGACGCAGGACCTTTGCTGGAATCTTCTTTTGCTTAAGCATAGACCTTGTTGTCCCATGTGTTGAATAATTTTTGCGTTGTACCCACCGTGATACTCCACAAATTGGACACTCCTGAAGATCTTTGTTATCCTTATAGTAGAGGATACAATCATTAGGGCATGCGTCGATTTTATTGTAATCAAGTCCTATAACGGAAACAATCTTCTTTGCGTTATCATAATTTTTTGGTATGCTATCTTTTCCATTTGGAATGACTTTTCTCAGCAACACAAGCAACATATTAAAATATTTATCCGCCATTCCGCTAAGAGACTTTATACGTAAAAGACGCAGCATAAATGATAACCTGGTGAACTCGGTACAACCCTCATACAGATCATTTTCATTGTCGTCAATTAATTTTATTATCTGCGCTAGCTCCTCATGATCAGTCACACCTCCAGTATTTCCTGACTCGTCAGCATCCTCGGCATCTTCAGATTGATCTATATTAGGAACTGTTAACATATCTGT